GAAATCCTATTGTCGAGCCAGGTGACAGCTTAGCCCAAGAGCAATTGTTCCGCCGCACTTTCAGAGGGTAGGAACTATCTCATGATTTCACATGAAAGGATGCTATGGTTTTGCCAAGGGAATTGAGGTGGCAGGGAAGCTTGTGGAAAGGCAGTTGCAGATAATTGATGACGCCCAACAAAAGGCTGCAGATTTTCTGAAAGAGGAGGTCAGTAAATATGACGCGGGGAAAGAGAAAAATAAAACTGTAAGCCGGCACTCACTGCTCATTATTTAAGAGGAATCCTACAGTGTTAATTTTGAATCACTTCAGATCGGTGTACACCAACTGAAGATCCAGAAAAAAAAAATTTCATCCATTTAATTGGGATCACTCGAACAAAACCGTTCGTCTTAATTATTCAATTTTTCCATGAGCGCGTTAGGATTGAGATGGTAAAAGCTAACAAGGCGCCGAGCTGCCTATAACCAATCTCGTATCTAATAAGTGCGAATGGACTACAAGGTAAGTCAGAATATGAGCTGATAACCGAAATTGAGTAAACCAATGAGAAAACTAGAAATGCAATATTCGAAGTTGAAAGTCTAATAAATCGGTATTCTCCAATGAAAGCATCCAGGCAGGTGATGTCATCATTCTTGGCAGGCAGATACCTTGGCAATAAATAAATCACCCAAGCAGGACTCCCGCCTAAGATTTTAAGCTTTGTGCCAACGACTGTACAAAGACAAATTTAAGAGATTTAACTGAAGCAATTCGGCAGTGTCGTATAAAGTAAAAAATCCCCCAAAAAAATGGCACTAGAGAAACATAAATCTTTTCTTAAAACGCTTAAGTTTTTCTGTGAGGAAATCTGCGTCTCGCTTTGTATATATGACAGTGAAGTCGTGTTTAAAAGCCTGTCAATCTCCGTCATTCCTAAGTGGATACTCTCAGTCTTCTATTGCTCATTAAAACTAATTTGCCATTTTTTTTTGGCATTCCTGAGCTGGTGTTAATTGATACAAAAGTTATATAAAATATAGATAAATAGCAGCAATTAAAGAAGTGCGTACCTCACCCTCCTCTAACCCCACAACAGTCAATCAATAACAAGTTAGGATTGTTTTTGGGTTAGGGGAGGGGTAGTTGCGCAGCTATTGATCCAAACTATCGTAACAGCTCCTTTGACCGCAATTATTTTTTGTTTGGAACAGAAATCTCATTCGTTCGTATCATTTAATTCCTGGCAGTGATTACCTATGCTTGAGTTGTGGAGGAGATTAAAAAAAAATTTTGATTCGTAATGTTTCCTCGGACAGAGTATGATCGATGGTGCAGCTTTTATGGGAGTTGGTTTCAATGGAAGAGGAAAATACAGCCCAGAATCCAGAAAAATAAGCATATTTCAAAGAAATTGTGCCAAAAAGCCACGTAAGTTATTTGAATTTGAAAACCATACCACCCCGGTCACTAAAACATCGATTGCATTGAAAAAAAAAAACCTCCGTGGATGTCATACATCTCGAACTACTCTGGTGTCATTTTCTCTTTAAGGTACGATGGCTTGGATGTTCCTGATACCATGAACGTCCACGATATCTATGACACATTTGCCTCGTTAGTAACGTACGAGAGTCGTGAGGAATACCAGAAGTACATTCAACAACAGGCAAGCGTTTCTGGCTCATACTTTGGTTTCTCTGTAGGGGGTCAAAGACGCCTGGGGAGAGTCTACAGCATCTGCTCGCCAGAAGTACCTGGCAGTAATGGATGTTGATGTTGACAGGTAAAATTTAATTTGAAGCCTCTAATGAAGCCTGAAAGGTGAAGGGGGAAAATAATACTCAACCATGGAAACAACTATGAAGATGAAGATGTGTGATTTTAGCAGTAATGAACACTACTTTAGTAGAAGTGAAAGTAAAGCCTGAATATATGTAGGCTTGCACGAAAGTGGAACCCATGACCTCTACTATATGCAATGCTAATAACTAAGCTAACAAGCCAACTGGAAGCTGGTAATTCTGTTGGTTCGTGATAAACCTGTGTAGTGATGATTGGACAACTGTAAATACCTGAATATGGAGATGATGATGATGTTGCCGTTGATATCGTTGGGATGAAATTACTGCCACAATTGGCAGTAATGACGGTGGCAAGAGAATATGACTTATCACATAAACTGCAATGTTATATAAGGATTTCCGGGCTTGAGAGAAGCCGTCACAACACACGTGAAAAAATTTGTATTTTTTCACGTGTTGATATAGCCAATCAGCTGCTGACACACCACTCGCTTTTGGCGCCACTCGGTCAGGTTGATGAATGAAAGGCAAAGCCCTCACGATTCTCAATACAAGTTGTTTGTCGGAGTTTCACCCAATTATGACGGCTAAAACATCCGTATCGCTGACAGACAGAGAGGTTCAAACTTTCCCTACAAGGCGAAGAAAATCAATAAACTAAAAGAAAAACCGAAAGTTACGCATTCAGTGGCTTTATTGTTGGCATTTCTCTCGGCTAAGAATGAAAATCGACAACTAGAATATTTGCCACTGGCCAATTTACCAAAATTGGCCAGTGGCAAATCTTCCAGTTGTCGATTTTCATTTTCAGCCGAGAGAAATGCCAACACTAAAGCCACTGAATGCGTAATTTACCTGAAAGACTTCCTCTGTCGGTAAGGACAAAGTCAATAAATGAGAATTTTGTAAATTGAAAGTTACGACCATTGTTGTTTTTGTAATCACGATTCAACACATTTTTACATCTTAAGAGTTAGCGCCAACGCACTCTACGATTGTTATTCGGGGATTGTCGATGCATTTACTTTCATTCATTAATGAAGGCGAATTTTCTTCTCAGTAAAGGGCTATTGTGTTTATACGATAAACAAAATAATACATGGTTGCTTGTAGATATGGAATTTCTCTTCTCGTGTTCAACTCAACATCTCACTCGTTCGCTGCGCTCACTCGTGAGCTATCGAGTTAAACACTCGAAGAGAAGTTTCCATATCTACGCACGCCATCTATTATTCACTATTTCTTAACAGTGGTCAAAATTTGTTGCCTCGTGAGTCCACAACACTATACCACTGTGATGAGGAATATCGCTGTCTATAAAAGTACAGACCACGCTAAACCACTTTTGATCCGTTAAATAGACTATAGTCAGCTATTTTTCTATTCCAAACAAACCAATTTTTTTTGCCTTTCAGATATGAAATATTTATGAATGAAGTCGAGCCACAAGATCTTAGCATGTCATTTCTACGAGAATGTATGAATTTACAAACTTTCTCCTTCTCGGCAGGCGGACCTCTGAAATACCGTTAAATATCTTATAATGAAAGCTGGATGAATGTAAAGCATCAGCTTTTCATTAAGAAACTCTACCCTGACTTTGATCGACGGGCTGTTAGGAAATGTTTGTAAGCAAAATGTCGTGAAGAATGACAATTTCTGGATCAGCTACGCACCTTCTCCTCCCCGGACATAACAGTATCATTAAATTTTCATCAGTTGACTGTTGCTGGGTGACGAGAGGGGTAGGGATGCTGTTGTTCTAATAATGACACAGATCTGAACTTCTCATCTAAAAGATATAGGCCTCATTCAATCTGGTTGAGACAGCGATTTTTCAATGATTACTGGAAACTATGCATTCTAGAACAAACCGATTCATTTTTGTTAAGAGTCTAGGTTTAAATCTGCATTAATTATTCAAACGTACAGTATCTTTGATTCTCTAGAAAACTTTATTCAGCGTTGGGGTACACATTTTATCAAATCCGCAAAGTTTGGCGGCCAGTTGGAGATAAGCAAAACGATGGATGCTGAGGGCGCAAAAAGCATAAAGGAATTTTGAAACTCAAATGGAAATGGAGTTTAAAACTTTGTTTGCAAGTGTTGGAGCCAGTTCATCTTACAAGACAGGTGAGAGTAGCGGAAAGCAGACAAAGACTACGTCAACCTCAATAGTCGCCCACGGAGGCAGTCAGCATATTGCATCTATTCTGTCGGATGTGTACTCGCCGACCTTTAAAACAGAATTCAAAGAGTGGTTGAAGACGATTCCAGACTATCCGAAGGCCTTCCGTTTTCAAATAGGATCTATCACCGAACTTCTCAATTTTAGGGCTGATGACCTATTTCAAGATGAAACGGTAAATTGGGGTTGCGAAGGAAATGCTGCGCACTTAAAGACAGAAGAAAAAGTAGGCAAAACTGTAAAATACTATAAAGTGCAAGTTAATAATGGAACGAAGCGGTACTACTGTGAGTTTGACAGTCGCCAAGCACTGGAAGATGCTGTACAAAGACGAAGGCTAAGCTTGAAAAGGGCCATCGAGATTTATATGGAAGAGGTATAATATAGAAAAGATGTTTCTCGTCTTGTCACAAACTTGGGACAAAGAAAAATTCTGAGTCCCCATGAGGAGTCGATCCTCAGACCTTTGGATTCCACGCCCCGATGCTCTACCACTGAGCAAAAGAGACTCTATGGTGAGCGAAGTCTATTACGAAGTTCTTATGACAGGAATACCCCTAATTCGTATTTTATTTAAGGGTGCAATGTCTATTTCTGATATCGATTTGAATGCCTGAAAATCACAAAACGACCAACCATTCAAAGAAGATCCAATTGCAAAGAGTCCCTTTTTAGAAAGTGGTGAGATTCCAACTTGGGCGAAGTTATGAAACACAGCACAACTTGGAAGATATCGTTTGACATGGTAGACGATCTTCCCAATGTACACCGTTGAGCTTTCAATATTGGTCATGACATGACCCGCCTTGTTAGATTCTATAAAAACAAATTGTATACAAGTGACAGGAATGGTTCTTTTCATTTGTTCGGTGCGTACAGTAACAGTAACACAAACAACGTTTCTCTGAGAAAAATGTCTATTTTTGGACTCGTGCTTACGTTTAATGATGCCGATGGCAGTCTTGTTCTGTAGCCCAGCGACTTCAAGGCATCGAAAACTTTCTTTCCTACTCTAACGGAGGAAATGACCGGCACTCAGTTAGCATGGGTGTATAAGTTTTCCACGAGATCTGACAAACGATCTATATCAAGTCAGCCTCCAAAATCAGTCCAACCCTGCCAGGTAAAATGGTCAAATGCGCTTCGAATTGATCCAACGGACACTAAGGGAAAATGCTTGCATTTTACTGCATCAACAGCAGGGACATTGTTTGTTGTGTTCGCAACTTTACCTAAAGAACCAGATTCGCGTTATTTAGTACAAATATCTCCTAACATGATTTCTACTTATAAGGTAAGACTTCGCGATAGCACTTCAATTTTTGATTTTTAAGAAGAATCAATTGTTATTCCCTTTAGTGTTAAAATTATAGGATATTCATTCAAGATAACACTGAAACTAATTTAGATGCTGAGCTGCTCAACACTCTCCACTCCTTTGCAAAAACTTGGGGCCCTGTTTGCAGTAGAGTGTAATTGTTTATCTCTCATATTGAGACCACAGGTACTACTTCACTACAGTGTGTTCACGTCGTGAATAACCACAACCTTTTTGTGACGATGATTATACAATCAATGCATTTGAGTTTGGGTTAATCTTTCCTAAAATTCAATTAATTTGAATCTGAGCTGTTTCCAACTTCAAATTTACCTTTTTATTCAAGTGTTTTATTATCGATCATTACCTCTCTTAGGGTACTTCTCTAAAGACATCAACATCAAACCTAAACGCTCGGGCACTTGGAGATGCTTCCCTTTATCAGTCGTACTTTGTTTGTATCACGGAATCGGAAAAGAGCACCCTTATTGAGTATGGAAAGAGTCTGGGTACATCTGAGAGTGGAGATATTTATCTGAACCTGATTGACAGCGGCGGACAGCTCAATGTACGATTCTACGCGTTTGGAAATGATAAAAATCCCGCCAAAGTAATGGATACCCACATCGTGTCTCGCCCTTTGACGAAAGCAGAATGTAAAGGAGACACAGTCAAAGATTTGGAGACAAACCTTTACGTTCAGAAGTGTCATAAGGATTGCGATCCCTTGGCTGGTGAGACCTGCAATCGAAAAAGCATCAAGTTTTAGATTTACTTTAAGTTGTTCTTATCTTTGTCTACTTTCCTTCTGTTATTTCTTGTTTTAATATTGCAATTAATGAATTCATTTGTCGATATACTTTTAACAACTTGTTCGCATTTGGGTCACAACCACTCTTTGATACTGGATAGCATCAAAATTTCTCTCAACTTTGCAGAAGAATTCTCACAAACAAACTATGCGTTTGTGCCAGTGAATATTTTAAGGCCCAGCTATAGAGCTAAGTTGAGATAAACAAAAACGTTGAGGTAACAAGAGAAAGAAGACAAAAAATGTGGTTGTAGCGCATCTCAGCAGCACCAATGGAGAATAGGAAAGCAAACTTTGACCGATAATCCTAGAATGAAACCTTGCCAACTTTGCTAGATTGCGCCCACACTGCGATGAGGCCACGTTATGTACAAATAACGTTCAAGTGCCCACCCACACTTACCCTTAGCCCATTTTAGATCTTTCCAAGAACAGTTTACATGTTTTATCACTTGGATATCCGATCAAAATACAAACTTATGTCGTTTTTATAGGTTGCAAGTCCCCTTACAGCGCTCAATTTCCTGAAGGATGTAACGCTTGCAGAGCTGCTCTTGACATAGAGCAGCATAAATGCATACCTGCATGTCCAAAACACAATACACTGACGAAAGACAAGAAATGCGTCCGTAAGTGTCATGTTACTTTTTTCTTTTTAAGTTTATAATAACCGCATAAAATTTAATATCCTCTGTTAATTCAGGGATCTTCAGGTGAGTGTCTATTTCTAACTGGGTATTCAGGATGCTCAGATACGAAGATCGCTTCCATATCCGTTTCTTTGTCTGCAGTTCACAAATATGATTTTCATATATTTACAGTCATTTATTCATCACTTCGCTGGTTTATTTGGAACCGCTTTTATTTTGACCAGCTCCTAATTGGTTGTTGGCTCAGTTGGTAAAGCTCTGCACCGGTATTGCGGAGGTCATGGGTTCAAGTCCCGTACACTGCCTGAGTAGTGTTCATTACTGCGAAGATCGATTTCATATTTATAAAATCCTTGTCAGGAGGCTATCTCCGGAAACACGAGGGGGAGATTTTTTCCATTTGTTTACTGAAAATGCAATAATGGACTCAAAGATGAAATAATGCTGAATTTGAGATCCCAAAGTTGGAGGAAACAAGACCTCGCTGCATTTTTTCATCTGCCCGCTTATATGAACATGTATTTCAGTGAATCCGTATTCATCTCTCACCGTACACAAACATCTTTCACTAGTGTTATACTCCTAAGTTCCAGTTAGGAAGTATCTGGGAAATATACTAACAATTTTCTTTTCACGAAATTTGCAGATCGATGCCAAACACAAGGTTGAGTTCGAGAACATGCCAGTCCTAACAGAACTCACTATGTGCGATTGGATTAAGCTGGAAGAAAACTGGAGCGGTCAAATAAGTTACTTCCACTTCATGTATTCGAGAAGGAGCCAGATCACTTCATTTCTGGGTCAGAAAGATGGAGTGATTGTTTTGACCATGCAAATCCTGCCGGATACCAGTAAATCACAGGAAAGTCAACGGTATCAGAGAACGAAATAGGCCTTGATGTTTTTTTTTGTCCACGAGCTAGGGACATCAATAAATCTGAGTGCTCTTGGAGGTATCGAGCTCCAAACCTAATTTTGTTACGAGCAGGATCATGGTAAAGGAATTTGGCAGATAGCCCTGCCAAAATCGGCTTCCTAAGAAAATTTCTGAATCACCGATTGTATATGTCTTCGGAATTTTGCTTTAGATTTTTGCTTGGGAATTTAAGTCGTTAGTTTGCAACCCAATGCAATAACTCTGAATTAATATAACTTGTTACCATTCATTCTACACCGCAGTGTATCATAAGCGCTGTTCCAACTTTTTGCCTTTATCTATATACTATTCTTAATTTTTTTTGGCAGGCTAACGCTGCAACAGTTGGGAGACGTGCGGTGGCATCCGTTTTGTGTGACTTGGTCCGGTTTTACAGAAGTGATTCAGTACTATTAAGACGGAAAGAATATTTCATCAGCCACCTACCGTCAGAGAGGCGAACTTCGAGGAGGGGGAAAACTGATGGTTGGTAACAGCCGCGGATAACTTATCACAGAGGGTAACGTGTGGGATCGAGTCCTTAGTTAAAAAGAAATCAGTCAGAATCTGAAAAAATGTGATGCTGGTAAAGGCAATATCGTACAGTGGCATCAAGGCTTTGAATTCCTCAAAAAGAGCAAGAAAATGTACTTCATCCCTTCGGTCTGTGAAGCCCCAGGTTCAATACCGGTCTTGGTTCAAGAACAAGCTGAAGACTTACCTTTGGGGATGTCGTGAATTTGGACGATAATTATTAATGTTATCATAGACAAAATATGCAGTTTGCAGTTATTATACCTAGAGGTGGGAAATAATGCTAACTGAAACCAATCAAGTCCAGAAATCGGAAGGAGGCTGTGTTAATGAAACTTTCATTTCATTTTCTTTTTGCAATGGAAGGTTAAATCACATGAAAGGTTTTCTATCAATAAATATACAAGAAATTTTTAATAATCCAAAAACATTCTAACCATTATGGAATGTTGAAGGAATCTTTACCTGTCTCCTTGTGATTTTCATGAGGCTGATGACACTGGTGAAACCGATAAGTTTGTTCGCTTGTCTGTAATCAAACTTTATAAACGTATGTTGTCGAAAGCACGTTCGAAACCGATAAGTTTGTTCGCTTGTCTGTACTCAAACTTTATAAACATATGTTGTCGAAAGCACGTTCGAAACTGATAAGTTTGTTCGCTTGTCTGTACTCAAACTTTATAAACGTATGTTGTCGAAAGCACGTTCGAAACCGATAAGTTTAGTTTTAATACAACTGCTATCGAGTTTCATTTCATCACTTATTTCTTCCCATGAAGTTTCATTTTCTCTCAAGTAAGTTTTTATTCCTCGCATCGAGTTTTGCAATTTCTCCTCGCTTACGTGCAAAAGACAAACACGATACATTTCGATGTCAATGAGTTAGGAACGGAACACATCTAACACGTCGCTGAAGGTCATAATTTAAAATACAACAAGCGCACAAACGTATCGGCTTCTTCATTTGAATTGTGCTCGTTCGAACATCCTGTTTCCTCGACTACTTTATATTAGTTTATCTCTTTAAAACTGGTTGGTGGCGAGAAGACTTCGCATGGTGGCGAGTACGTTGGTGGCGAGATCGTTCCTTGGTGGCGAGTTCGCTGGTGGCGAGTCTGCTTGGTGGCGAGGTGACCGGTAACCTTGATATTTATGTGCTCGACAGTGGGACTTCTGCTCTGTGTTCGAGCAGTTCTTTCTATTTCAATCAAGCTCCAGTGGCGAATAAAATAATAATAAAAAAAAAGATATCGAGTCTCGTTTCTGAAGAGTTCATTAAATCTTAATCCTAAAATGAAATTGTGCACAAATCAGTGAAGAACTTCTTTAAAATTCCTGTGCCTATGTTTTGAAATTGAAAATGAAACGAGGTGTGTCTTCTTTTAATCATTCAGTGGAGTTGAAGTTGAAGATAATCTGTTCATAACTTTATGCATTAGCCTAATTCAGCTCTATCTTTATTTAATCTAATGTCCGAGTACCTTCGGAGTGTTTTGAAGATTTTGAAGTTCAATTTGTTCTTTGTAACAAGTTGCGTACTGTATGTCAAATAACTGTGAGATCGTTAGACCAGCAAATATCGACTGTCTCTCAGCCAACCAGCTGTTAGGGATTAAACCGCTATTCTGCCCTCATACTAGTGATAGAATAATTTGCGAGAATGTTAAACTCCAGAAAGACCCAACGCCCCCTCGTGAATAACTGCTGAGTGGATCAAAGTACCGTCCATTGTTACACCCTGGTTAATATCGACACCTATTTCAAAGTAATCACTTGAATGATGCATACCGGTCAATTGAAGAAAGGTATCAATCTTAAGGAATGAAATTAAAGGCATCTCAGTAAAGTAAAAGTAAAGTCATTAGGATGTCATCAGTGATTAATTAATACGTTACATCAACAATTAAGGAGTGGCTTAGAGGGTTTCCAAATTGTATCGCCCTAGTGCTATTTTTTTTCCCTCTAACAACCTCTGATACCTTCAAGATGGAAGGCAGCTAAGAACAGACAATTTCATATGGCGGTGGGGTGTTCAGAATCTTAGAATTCAGCATTAGCCGCGTTCATGGCTGATGAATTAGACTCACTAGAGAAGGAAGCTTTCGGCCTGAAACAGTAGCTCAGTTCGATCAAGATTTCCATCGTCACCAGCCATTAATTTATTTTCAGTATTCCTGCATACACAATGGGCTTTCACTTTCAAACATCATAGCAACTTAGGAGTTTGAATGCTCAACACATTTTTCAGTTGATGGCACAGTGACAATTTAACAGAAAATGCTATCTAATGAAAAAAATTGTGCTTGAGAACTAAATAAATATTTAAGTAACTTTCTCATTGCACATTAGCAATGCTGAGTTCTGAAATAATTCTATTTGTGTACTTCACAGTTATTTTCCCTCACAAACATTGCCTGAATCTACCATACCAAAATCCCTTTCATACAAGAAAAGAGATTCATTCGTATAAAACTCATCATGCTGCAAGTTTAGTTTCTCTTCCAGTGTCTTTTTTCCAAGGTTCCTCAGCCCTTTGTCATGGAAAGACACAAAAGTAAATTCTTCCTTGATGATCTTGCAAGCGTGGTAGTAGTGTTGAATAACATAAGCTTAAAATAGCCTTGGGTCGTCAGTGTACACTGACACGATCCACTCCGTAACTTTTGCTTTCGGTGACAGCCGACCAAAGCTAAAAGACCTCGGCATCTCGTATTCGTTACATCTCTCGGTCAGTAATAAGTCGTCGTCTTGTAAAATGTAATCGATATTTGAACAGAGAGCCTCGAAAGGGCACCAGTCAACAATTACGACATTAAGTGGAAAGAGTTTGTGTGAAAATGCGCGAGAGAGAATGACCTCCGAGAAATATTTCTTAGTACATGAAACGAGCTCTGAATTTTTCATTGAGCAAGGCATGTGAGGATCAAGCGGTAAGTGCTCCACTCTGTACCCTAACTTATCCAACTCTAAAACCATCTTCGTTGCAGACGAGTATTCGCGATAAACATAGTTTGTAAAACGCAACCTCCGAACACTTGGGAAGTTCTTCCGAACGTAGGCATCCATGGCTTGCGAAAGTTTTCGCGAGAGACCTCTGCCTTGTAAGTCTGGAGCGAACCGCATCGCCTGACGAACAAATGTTTGTCCCTCATCCACGATGAAGCAAGCTTGTAACCCGACTAACTTCTCATCGACAAATGCAAGCAACATGGCCAAATTGTTCATCTGAAGCCACTTATTGACCTTGTGCTGAGGATAGTCATTTCCACTTGGGAAAACTTCACTTGATAACCTTATAATTTCGTCAAAATCGCTTGGTTCTGCAATACGAAATGTGAGAGGGAGATCTTTCGAAAGATCCGCCATGTTTTTCAGGCCTTCGTTACTCTACAGTCAGCGGAGTATCAGGGCTGTGGTGTATGGGTCACTTAGCGTGACAGGTCCAAGCGCGGCGGCCCTAGGGTACACTGTGTGATTTTTAGGTTTAAAGGTCATCAATAGGAGTAGATAATGAATTTTAAGAGTAGAGAAAAAGAAAAAAGAAAAAAAAATACAAACAAATAGAAATGATAATGAGACAAGAAATGTAACGTGCTAATTCTCCTTACCTTTACTCCGTTGCCGCCTTGTCGCTTCCGACCGTTTTAACGCTATTTTGTCGACTCCCTACCGCACAACACGCGGAAGGAAGGTCGGAACCGGTCCAGAGAACCAACCGTCGCTACTCGAGGGCCAATAAATTCAATAAAAGTTGACGGATCTCTTCAAATTGCTACCCCCAAAGGCGAATAGCAACTACCCACTCGCTCGAACACAAAAGTTTCCAAATTTCGCCTTGTCGGCCTTTGAGGCACTCCCTTTTTTTTTTTTTGTCTTGCATGTGTTATTAGGTTCTTATTAGGATCTCACAGCTCAGTGGTATCAAAGCGCGTTCTGTCTGTTCTAGAAGCAGTAGTAGCTGTCTTTCGTTCTTCTGACGGGAGCACTTGATTATTGCCGCAGCGTTGACAAATCTTCCGAAAACAGCAGCATGAAGCAATTTGCCTCAAAGCATGCAGGTAACCTTCTCGAAAATTCTGATTGAAACAGGGTAGATGTACGGTGTCACTGCACTGTTTGAGTAGGACAGGAAATACCTGATGTAAGCGAAGTCATCATTGTGGCACATTCTCGGTGGTGGCACATTCAAACAGGCCAAGGCAACCCAAGTTGGCATCCAACAAATGCAGAATGCAATGAGGACTGCAACAAACATAGATATCACCTTACGATTAACTGTACGATTCCGGGCAGCATTGGCGGCAGTTTGATTCCCTGGAGTTACCCGAGTGCACATTTTCACCCCAATTACGATATACAATATTGTGGTCGTAGCAATCGGTATTCCAGTCACGAGAATAAAATCGCAGATCAAGTAAGTACGGAAATTTTCTTGTGATTTCAAAAGATCTCTCACAATACGGTTCGCACAGTATGTCTTTCCATTTATTTCCACCAGCGTTGCGTAATGGAATACCAGAGCGTAGCAACAGCATGACAGAATCCATGTGAAGGCGATTATTCCAACCATAATTTTTCTGGTCATGGGGCGTCGGAGTGGAAAAAATACTGCTAAGAATCTATCCAAAGCGATAAACGTAAAACTCAAAGTAGAAACGAGCAGAGCAACAAAAGGTACAGCGCTGGTGACCTTACACAAGGAAAGAGCAAACTTTCCTCTTATCAACCACTCGTAACCCACCAACAATATGGAAATTATACGTGGTATGTTACATATAGTAACAAGCAGATCGGCGACACTTAGATTCACAATCAGATAGTTGCTCAGAGTTCGCATTCGTCTGTTGATATTCTGATAAACTGAGGAAATTGTGAGGAAATTCCCAACCAGGGATAGAATTATGACGATTGCCAAAGCTAGAACTTTAAAAACCGTCGAAGCTAACGGCTCCTTAACTAATATCTGGTTTCTGAGTGGTCGAGGAACCGTAGCATTGCTGTTTGTCCAATTTGAAGATCCATTCGACACATCCGGAAATAAAGAAAACGATTCAGCAAATGCGTGGATGGCGAAACTCATCATCGCTGCTCGAAAGACAACGTTTAAACAAAGGTCTCGACACAATTTCTTCCCGTCTTACTACTTGAACAGCTGCTAGTTCAGCCAACAGATGTTGTCAACAGAATATTAAAATGTGGTTGCAATTACAACGGTAACTGCTCTTTAATGACAATCATATGAAAACAGTTATTAAGCCGTTGTTCTTGTGAAACGAGAGTCTTTGTGTCTTGGCAGCTCACTTCTATCAAAAGAAGACATCTGTATTTAATCATTCGTTGAAACCAATTAGACCTTCAAAAAAACTTCAAAGAACTTGTCATAGGTATATTAACTTTTTTGCTGAGAACAATTTTTCTATTGACTTTTGCACTCAAGCTGTTAGCGCTTAATAGAATTCAAAGCTCGAGAAAAAAAAAGATATGAGTTACATTGAATGGCTGTGATGGTGAAGACAAGCAGTACGTCAACACAAAGCAAGATGTTAATTGTTGGCTTCATCGCTTGCCAAACTTCAAAGGAGTTGTTAAATAATCATGTTGTCAGAATTTAACTGCCTTATTCTAGACCTCTTGTTGATTTGTTCAACGTTATTTAATGTATTATCAGTTTAAAGCGACAACATGACCGATATCTAGCCTTATAGAATAACACTCATGTACTTAGGCGACACCAAAGTTATGGAAACCGAGCTTAGAGATATTGAATTATCTATATTTTTTACCGTTACATCATTAGCTCGTAAAAGTAAATAATTTTCATTTGGTACACTGTGAGAAGCAAAGTGATAATTTTTAGCTTTATCTGTTGCCCAACTTTTAAGGGTAGTTTTTGATCGTGCTGTCGATCAAAGTTTAATTGCCTTATTCTAGACATTTTATTAATTTCTTCCACGCTTTCAATGTGTACTTAGTTTTATAAGACATCTTCACCGATTTCGCGCCTTATCGAATGAGAATATTAAAAATTAAAAAAAAAACAAACAAACGAAAACATTGATGTACTAAGGTGTCACAAATAATTTATTTTTGACTATTATACCATTGCCACCCTTAAAAAAATTCAACGGACACGTACATTTCTTGAGGTCCAAAAGCAAGAGCAGAACTGTTAGCTTCATCTATTTCCGCACTTTTAAAAGAGTTCTTAATAATGTTTTCATCATAATTTAACTGCCTTATTTAAGACCTTTTATTAATTTATTCATTGCTATTGAATGTGTTCTCAGTTTTAAAAAAACATCATTATCGATTGCACGCCTTATCGAAAAAGAAAATTGAAATAAAACGAATATTTGTGTACTCAAGAGTCTCCAAAAGCATTGTGATCTTCTGAGCATTATCATACACTCTTTCAAAAATCGTGCAGGCGCGTGCTCTTTCTTGAGGCAAAGAAGACCTTTCTTAGGAGTTATTTCCTTTGTTATTTCCTATTTTTTGCTTGTTTCGGGCCTCTCATGTTTTTCAAATTGCAATAAGCACCCCGTCAAGAGTCCCATCAGATAATTACAAGCATCCCGAAGTAATCCTATCGATTTTTTTACATCAGAGCTCAGTTGTGTTTAAACACAATCTTTCAGTTCTACTAGCAGTTGTGCCTGGCTTTTCTTCCTGTTGAGGGGGCACTTGAGCATAACTGCAACAGCGGCACATCTTCCAAAAACAGCACCTCCCAGTAATTTGCGTAAGAATGTACAGATATCCTTCACGGAAGTTCTGATTAAAGACAGGGTAGATGTAAGGCGTCACCGCACTGTTAAAGTATGACATGAAAAACTTGAAGTAAAAGAAGTCATAACTGTTGCAGAATCCCCTTTGTGGCAAATATAGACAGGCCAAGGAAGCCCAGGTTGGTATCCAGCAAATGCAAAATGCTATAAGGACCGCAACGAGCATAGATATCACCTTACGACTGACCATACGATTCCGGGTGGCATCGGAAGCTGTTTGAATCCCAGGGGTTACTCGAGTGCACATTTTAAGCCCAATAGCTGTGTAAAAAGTTGTGGCAGCAGCGATTGGAATTCCAGACATGATGATAAAATCGAGGATAAAGAAGGTACGAAATAATTCTGGGGTTTTCAAGAGATCTGTTTCGATAGAAGTGACACAATATGTCTTTCCGTATATATCTTTCAGTGTTGCGTAGTGGAATAGCAAAGAATAACTGCAACATGGAAGAATCCATGTGAAGGCGATTATTGCAACCATAACATTTCTGGTCATGGGGCGTCGCAGCGGAAAAAATACGGCAAGGAATCTATCCAAAGCGATGAACACAAAGCTCGATGTGGAAACGAGCAAAGATAACGAAGGAACAGTGCTGGTTATTTTGCAGAGGAGAAGTCCAAAGTTGCCCCCGATGCGCCACTCAAAACCCACCAGGAGAATAAGTATCATTCGAGGCATATTACATATAGTAATAAGCAGATCAGCAGTGCTGAGATTCACAATCAGGTAGTTACTCAGAGTTCGCATCCGCTTGTTCACGTTTTGGTAAATCGAGCCGATTGTGAGAAAATTCCCGACAAGCGAAAGTATTATGACAATCACCAAGGCCAGCACTTTGAAAACCGTTGAAATTAGCGGTTCTTGAGCAACAGCTTGATTTCCAATATTTATGATAGGAAGGGAAACCGTTGCATTGCTCTTAGTGCAATTTGTAAATCCATTCTTAATTTCCGCACTGATGCAGATTAAGTAAGGAGACGAGGTGTTGTTCATCGTAAGGAAGTGCACTGTAAACTGGAGGATTCAAAGGAATCAGTTCTTCTTTCGTTTTCCCTTCGAAATGTTTGTTATTTCAGCCTTCAGATGTACTCGTAGGATTATCAAACACTAGCTGACTTTTCAATGTTAACTGTTTATTTATGGCAATTTTAAGTCAACAGCTATTGCTGCGAAGCGGGTGTTTCTTCAAATAAGATCCTCCAATTTTTTTTCTTGCGAGTGACTTCCGTCAAAAGATATTTATGGTTATCTCACCCAAACACTTCTAAACAGAGTGAAATTAAGTCTGCGACGGTAACAGTTTTTCCACTGAAGATTTTTCTCACTGAAATCGATCCTATCCATTCAAAGCATGAGAAAATGCAAAGAAACTAACAATAGAAAATTCCCAATTAATATTATTGAGGACAATTTGCACTTTCGCCAACTTTATTAGGATTTCAATTAGGTTGTCTTTGAAGTTAAAACGCGCTTTTTCCGATCTTTCCGATGCAATTTACTTTGTGTTCCGTATTTGAGTACATTCTCGCTATTTTCTCACCCTACTCTTTTAGAATGCGCGAGACAAAACAAATACAGCTTTAACTTTGGCGACACCGAAATTGTAATCTAAGACCCGTTAATGAATTGAACCCTTGGGGATCGAAAAAAAATGGAAATATTGTGACTTATTCAAGAGGCTTTTTTTCCTTCCATGCCCAAAGGAACTGCACAGTTTGCATTGGTGTCGGGGCTGTTAATATTAGTAGCTGTCGAGACTTTCGAGTTTTGATCTGAGTATCCCGTATCGTGTTTGATGAGTGTCGAAACTGTAAGTTTACTTCCCACACAAAACTATGAGTTGCACTCGCATCGTCTTTTCCATGGAAGAGTTAATTCGAAAGATCCTGTAATAGCATATTCGCTAAAGAACAGAGTTGCATAATTTTAAAATGCAGTTTCATTAAAGTCTAGTCTCAAAAGTGAGCTAATAATTTCATAAAATGTCCTTGCAATTATCCGAAAAAGGAAATATAATGAGTCTTCTTAGAATGCGTTATTTGAAAGTTGTGTACAGTATTTCATAGCATATACTACATGCATCCATATTCCGTTATTTTAAGTTCTTGTCCGTTAATTTCAGTGCGTTTGAGATGCTCAAAGAACCAAAGACTAGCCTAGATTGATTCAGGTCTCATCCACTCAATCATTTGTTAGGTGTTCATCGAGTGCTCTTATCAGTAATATGTACTAATCATAACCTTTGTGACTCATTTGAGCTAAAGTTGAAAACTGAATTTCGGTGACTTGTCATTAAAATGCAATTTTGAAACTAATTTCAAGATTTTGTTTCGGAATATTTACAATCCATAATAAGTCACTTTGAATTGGATTTTCAATGATAAAAGGTCTCATTTCTTCGAAAACATTAATTTAAAACAACGGCCAAAACAAACACGTATTTCTCGAAAGACGGCTCATGAGTCACATATGATTTATCAGCACTATAAATATTTGCATATCTTGCTTTAAGGAAGTATGCACGTATGCATGTGTGTAAGAGCCAAAGATCTTGGACTAGTTCCGCTACCAAACGGAGAAACCGTTACTTAGTGCATAAATGTCATCAAAACATCAAGTTACGTTATCTATCACATTGAGATTTAGTCAGTGGAGAGACTGTTCCATCCTTCGAACAACTCAGGGCCTGACTAAAATGCAAAAATGTAGCGTACTAAACTGATTGCATTCAATTTATCAAAGAGATGTTTGGACATGTGTTTCGCTTCAAAACGGACAAATAATTTACGTTTCGTCGGCAATAGTTATATTTGGTGTAGTTTTAATGAAAGAAAAGATGATAGACAAGCATTCATATGCAATAAAAATGCTTTTATTTTTTATCACTAGTTGTAGAAAAGCTCTTTCCCTTTTGAGACAATTTAAAAAGTGACTGCATTCTAAGAAGAGATTCCGCCTTGTCCAGCTTCAATTCATCTGCATTTATTGTTGCTACTCGTTATTTTGTCGCTACGGTTGGAGAGCCAATCAGGCAACACTCTCATCATC